GAAGGACTGCCGCGGCTTGCCAGGCCCGGGGGGCACGCTGGCTCTCTTCACGGGGTGCCCGTGCCGCAGGGAGCGCACCTCTTTGGGCAGGCTGGGGGGCCCCTCCTTGCCCTCCTCCGTCAGGTACTCCTGGCTCTTGGACATGGCAGCGCTCGGCCCCTTGGGCTCGTCGCCCAGCAGCTCTTGGGAGCTGCTGATGTGCTTGGCTCGGCTGCCCAGGCTGTTTTGGTGCACGTGGCGGGTGGCGGGGGGCCGGTAGCCGGTGCCCTCCCGGAGGTGCGGCACGTGGTTGGCCGGCTTCTCGGGCTCGTCGGGCGCCTCGCCGGTGCCTGTCATGGCCACCTGCAGCTCGCTGCTGAGCTCGCTGTCCTGGAACGTGGTCATCTTGGGGGACTGGCACTCGGCGCTCTCGGGCGGGGGCGACTCGATGGCCATGACATCCAGCGACTGCGGCGCCTTCTTCTTTAGTGTCCCCGCCTCGTACTTGACGTACTCGGCCTTCTGCAGCTCCGCCAGCTTCTTCACCGCCAGCATCAGCTTCTTTTGGTGGCCTGCGGGGGGGACAGATGGCAGCGGGGGAGGTAAGAAAGCACCGGAGGGCACGTGCACACAGCCGGGAGCTCAGACTGGGAAGGGAGCAGGCTGGGGAGAGAGCTGAGTGACCGGGATGCAGGGTTATCCCCCCCTGGAGCTAGGCGTGCAGAGATCAAGTGAGGTGCCCAAGGCTGCCCGGGGGGGCAGTGGCGGAGCCAAACCCAACACTGCCAAATGCCAAGCTGGTCCTGTCACAGCAGCCCCCGTGTCTCATCAGGAGCCCCTGGCACCACATCTTGCCAGTCTGTACCCCGCCGCGTGGCCAGTCTGGAGCAGGGGGCACTGGTGCTGCTGTCGCCCAGCCTCGCCTCGCCTTACCCAGCTTGGTGATGCCGATCTCCTGCAGGTCCTCCCACGTGATGTCCGTGATGAAGTCGATGTTCTCGTAGCCGTTCTCCACCAGCACCTTGTAGTACTGCGACAGCCCGATCATGGACAGCCAGAGCGCCAGGTTGGCCTGGGAGGGGGGAGCGGAGCCTGAGCGGGTGCCACGACTGCGCGCCCGGCCCGAGCGGAGATCGCTGCCTCTGGCGGCGCTGCAACCAGCCCAGCGCCAGCGTGTCCCTGCCCCCAGCACCCCCGCACGGGGCAGGGGGGCATCGGCTTTGAGCTCTGCGCCGTCCCATGACAGTGCCACACCTGACGCTGGCAGCTGCAACCCCGTGCCATGCCCCCCATCGCCCCTCCAGCCCAGGGCCCGCTGCAGGTGTCCGGGGCCCAGCACCAGGCCTGTGGGAGAGAGCCGCAGAGCTGCGGGGACCTCACCGGCAGGGGGGTTTCCTCCGGCTCGGCGCGGTCCCGGCGCCCACCGCCCGGGCCCCGCGGGCAGAGCCGTACCGGCTTGTACTCCGGGAGCCACTCGGGGATGTTCAGGCTGTTGATCTCCGAGGCGATCTTCTTCCGGTGCCCGGGCTTCGTCACGCCGATAGCCGTGAGGTCCTGGGGCCGGGAGGGAACCCGTCACCCACCTGCAGCCGCCGGCTGGCCGGGCACCGGCTCACGGTGTGCACAGGGTCACCCACCTCTCTCAGGCCAGGAGCTGAGACCCAGCCTGCCGGCCCGTCCCCCTCGGCGGGGGCTGGAGGAGATCCCCCACCACCCTCCCCTTTCCTCGGGACCAGCTGCCCCCAGCGTTGCTGCCCAGTCTGGGCTCGAGCACGCAGCACGGCCCCAATCCTGCAGTCCAAAGTGGAGGACTGAGGTGGGGGGGTTTTGGAGCCGCCCGGCCGCCTCCTGCCCTCACCTCTGGCGTCATGCGGCTGATGGTGGGGATGTCGTAGCCAGCATTAATGAAGTTGGGCGCGTAGAGCTGCAGCTGGAACTTGTACAGCCACTGGTACACGGCCTCCGAGCTCTGGGGGCGAGGGGCAGCATCAGGGGCTTGGTGCATGCGGCCCTGACCCCGGCCGCCCCATCCAGATGTGCTGCCCGGTCCCGAGCACCTTCCCACTGGGCAGCTTCCTAGCAAGCACAGCTGGGCACTGCCGGGAGGCCAGGCAGCGAGCGCTGCTGCTGAGCTGGGCCCAGGAGGGTGCTGGGCATGCAGCCGGGGCGGGGGGTACCAACCCGGCTGCCCAAAGGGATGGAGGCAGCGGAGAGGGCTGGGGTCCGGCTCCATATTGCATGAGAAAGCTGGTACCAGCTGCACCCTGGCCCAGCCCCGCTCTGGCACGGAGGAGCTGTGAAGCGCAGGTGGCAGCTCAATGAGAGAAGCTGTCAGAGGTGCGACTCTCGCCCCCGAGCAGCAGAGCGGGGAAGGGAGCCCCGTGCCCAGCCCAGGCACTTGCAATGCCAGCTCCAGCACAGGGATGTGGGCAGCACCGGTGCCCCTCTCCATGCCACCTGCACCAGCCCAGGGCAATGGCAGCTCCTTGGAGGCTGCAAGCACTGGCACGGCATCACGGGTCCGGGGGTGCTGGCAGAGGAGCAAGACAGAGCCCCGCCACATGCAAGCACCCCCAGGGCTTTACCCCCAGGCCCCCGAGACCCAGGGAGCAACACAGGAGCTGCCTTGCCCCAAATCCAGCTGCCGGAGCCCGGGCAGACCACCGCCCACGTGCATCCCCTCAGCAGCAGCCAGCGAGCGAGCGCCGCGGGCAGACGGCTGCAGGATGATTCACAGCGTGGCTTTGGGCACTGACTCACCGGCGGCCCGGGGTGAGCAGTGCCGGGGACGTGGCCACTCCCTGACAGGCGGGCGCAGGGCGCGGGCACCTGGCAGGCAGGGCCAGGCATGGCTGGGAGCCTGGTCCCCATCTCCTGTGTGCCCTCCGCAGCGACATCTGTGCTGCCCGGATGTCCCTCCCCAGGTCAGGGCCAGGTGTGGACCCCAAAGGGACCAGGCCCTGGGGGTGCAGGGAGCGAGGGGCACCACCCGGCTGCATGGGGCAAGGTGTGGGGCACCCACGCAGCGCCCCGATGCAGGCTGGGAGTCCAGGGGAGACGCCTGCACCCCTCCGGCAGCTTTGCAAGGACAAGCCGCTGGACACAGCCGGGATATGGGGGCTTTCCGACCCCCCCGCCTCACCTTCCCCTCCGACATGGGCTCCATCTTCTTTAGCTGCTGCTCGGGCGGGGGCTGGGCTGCATACGGGGAGCTGGCCACGCTCTGGCTCCGCGAGGAACCTGCGGCAGAGCGGGGGGGGTCAGCGCGGTCGGCAGACACCCCCGCAGCACCGGCCTGGGTGCCGGGGCAGCAGCTCCTGGGGGTCGCGCCACCGCCTCGGGCACCCGGTGCTGAGCTCCATCCATCCATCCCACGCTACAGCCCGCAGGGAGCTGGGGGGCCGCTGGCAATAGCCGGGGGCAGGGTAGGGCTCTGCCATGCAATCCCCCTCCTCCGTAAGGGGGCAGGGAGGGCCACGGGGAACGGGTCCCAGGCAGCCCCACCACCCACACAGCTCCTGGCATCCCGTCGCAGGCACTGGAAGTACCCCGGCAATCGGAGGGCTCTGGCCTGACCTGGCCACGGGATCCAGACCCACACCGCCCCCTCCTCCGTGCCCCCTGCCCTGCACGCAGCCTGCGAGGGAAGCTGCTGGGGCAGCTGGACACGGGCAGCAATCCCCCCTCCTCCCCGCACCCCCTCGGCCAACATGAAGCCCGGGCAGCTGCCCAAAGCCGGGCGCCTTGGGGCTGGGGGGCTGCCAGGCGGACAGAGCCCCCCAGCCAGCCCCTCTCCCCCACCCCC